TGCCAATGAACTGCGTCGTCAAATCGTTTAAGAGCGTTCTCCGAAAGATCGATTTCTAAATATTCAAATTATATTCAGTCTGCGTCATTATCAAGAAACAATGTTGAATGTCATGGAAATTGTAATTACGATTACAGAGACGAGGAAGTGATTCATTAAATGATACAAATTGCACTTACGATCTAAACAAAATTACATAAAAGAGCGAACGGTCCAAAAAAATGCGCCTGAGGAGAGTAATATAATTCTTACATCATTAACATTGCCTCTGAATAATGCAGCGTTAATGGAGTCTGTCGTAATATCGACACTGATCTACCAATCAATGTTCTAATGCTAACTTTTGATTCACCTTGATTCAAGTGCTAATTTACCCTTGCCTTAATTTCTCGATTCCGTGCATCGATCCTCAAACTTCGTATCCCAAATGAAAGCTAGATCAACAAACCTGTGCGATATCATGGGAAACGCAACGACGTTCACACTTAGTCGCTACTTGGATTCTGTCGCAAGTGGACAAACGTTTGACAGACTTCTGTAATTCCCAGCCATCGAATCCTCTTCGCAGAGGCTGGCGTTTTATCATTACGCGTCGCGAGCTCTAACGAAATAGCATTGAACGACGACGTTATCGTGGCTAATTGACCGCAAACAATAGAATCCTTGGTCCCTGTTTCAGCATACGGTTATAGGTTGCGTTAATGACGGCCAACTCGCGCGGACCCTTGATTACGAATTCTCGTTTCGCGCAGCCCCGAGCCGCGCGGTATCGTAATCACTGGTTAAAAGCACCTGTCTATCTGTCGTAATACATTAGCACGTAGAACGCATGCATTAGCGAGGCGTATGCAGTTTATCCGGGGAGCCTCCTTTATGTCGCGTGGCTCACAACTTTCACCGACCTCCACTTTCACCGATGAAAATTAGTGCCGGCGCGTTTGTTCTGTCGCGGGACCAGCTAGATCGCCACCAATCGTGGACCGGGACGCGTCCTCCTCCCGTCGACGCTACGAATCTCGACCGTGACGCGTGACACGCAGAATTATTTAATCGCACGACGACGAGCAAACGCTCGGCGTACCTTTTTCGACGTGAAATTTCGTCGGCGTCGTTAAGCATGCGACAAACGGGTAGTTACATATTATTACCCAGTCGCGTTTTGCTCCTTTTAGATCGTGCTAGTAGATCTTTAATTAACCTTTTAGCTACGGCGGAAGCTATACCTCTGTGCGGCAAGGTTCGACGCAATCTGCATATCGTATATGTAATGTCACTGCGATTTCAGACTGATAGGATCTTTCACTGTGCAATTACGTTAAATTAGACTGTAATGCGCAGAACAATCGGTGGCAGGGAAAGAATTCTGTCGCTGTACTGGCATACCGTTCGGAAAGATGATACACGCGAAAGCCATTATGGCGGCGTACGGTAGCTAAAGGTTAAATTGAAAAACTGCAATAATACTAATTGAACGTTGGTTACTCATTAATGACAATTATTGCAGATTCATTAATATATGCGTGGTGTAAATAGCGCGCGAGTGATGCAGATTATATGCTTATTTATTTATATGTATGTTATTGTGGAGTGCGTTTAAGGCATACATTATGGAAAACTTTTTTAGTCTTGCGTATTAATCATGTATACGTATTACAGCTGCTTAGAGTAATCGTTTTTTTCATGTTAATTAGATTTACTTGGTAACATAGTACCTTACTTTGGAAAGCAATCTTAGTGATTACACGCAACGTAATTTTTTAATCGCATCCTTTTTTATCTGGTTAGAGATTAAAATACGATCGTCCAATAAATCACTTAATCTTTCTTCAATGGATTTTTCTCACTGCGAAGGCGTTAACAGATAAACGAAATGATGCGTACATACGTCATTTGCGGATTATTCTTTTGTGTTCCTTTTGGATCTTGAATTCCCTTGATTAGCGTTAATTACGCTCAAACGATCAAGAGAAAAATTTATATAATGAACTTCACCAGTGATGCAACTATTGCTAGGTCTCCACAAATGAATTTTATTGTCCACATTGCTATTAATGATGCTATTAGCGTAACCATTTTCCTTTAAATAATTGTACATTGAAGAGTTCCCAGAAAAACAAGGATTGAAAGTCAAGAAAACAATATTTTGAAAATATATTATGCAATGGCATTTTTCTTCTGTATTTGAAGTGCCATCATATTTAGAAATAATACACTAGCGGCCTCTACGTATGGAATGGACATTTATTGAATTACATAAGCATGCTCATATATGATAAGTTACTAGGACATTTTTAACACTTTGTTATTACCACCGATGAGAGATAGGGCGCCCTGGATATTCAATAGAAATTTTTGTCATAGTCTGTGCTTTTGTTATACGGCCAGGGGCTGCGTGACACCCTTGACAATCTCATGTCATTTCCAACTTTGCCAACAGAGTATAACTAAATACAAATAAATAAAAACGTGTTGCTTTCTATTTTCTTCTTTCAATATTAAATTGCTCTATCTACTCGCAATTTCTTATAGACATTTCTATTGCTTGCAAAACATTAACAAAAATAACACTGTTTTTCCGTATTACTGTCTATCGGTATTTCAGTGTGCGGTTCGTGAACGAATTGAAAAGAGGGTGCTACGATCAGTCTTGAAATTTGTGGGTCGGTAAAACAGTCACTGCGCGAAAGCGTATAAAATATTCAATATATTCTTATACCTATTGCTTGCGACTATACCTGACAGGAAGCGTGTACTTGAAATGTTTAAAAAATAGAGAAAATAGAATAAACTGCCTTGTGTACACATTTTAAAAATTGCTATAAAGATATAGTGTTTGTGTTCTCTAAAGTACAAAATGTGAAAACTGATCACATCTTTAACACGCTTTTCCTTCTTGTAGCCTTTTCATCTTTTCTAATATTTGAAACATTGTAATAATTTGTCACTGTGTTCACTTTTATACTTCCTCCGTATAAAAGCAGCGTCATTTTCGTTTTCCAATGTGCTCGAAAATCCTTTCAGCGATCGCACATTAAACCCTGATTAATCACGTTCCACCGCGGCGACGGTATTCGTGTCGCACAGTAGTTTCAGTGTTTTTATGATACACCGAATTTCGTTAGAAGACAGTGAAAGGTAAGTAGGTATGCTTGTACGCATACATGAATTCTCACACTTTCATTCTGTCCGGTAAAAAAGCCGCTGTTTAACGGCGCGGAGACGGGACGGTGGTAGTTAAGGTCGGAATGGAAATTCACATAAATTATTTCGTGCTGTGAAATCGCCGTTTCGTGGATTTTCATTGAACAAATGATACAATTTCTCCACTCTTATTCTCACGGTGTTACTTTCATGGTAACATTGTTCTTACGCCGAATTTAATGAAACGTCGTTCACGCATCGCTCTAACGTGGAATGCCGCTTTTCCCTTTCACGCCGATAGAAAAAAAATTAAAAAGCTTCCACTGAACTGACTGGAACCGGCATTAATTGCCAAGCGAATACGATAAAGCCGGGGAAAAAATTCCGCGTTTGCAAGATTAATGGCCTGCTAGATAGACATCGTCGTTCCCCTCGGTTTAACTTCAGCCTCCACGTGACCTTCGACTTTTTCAAGGGCGGCTTTATGAATACCAAGAGGAACTCCGAGATTGATAAGAATGATGAAGCAACCTTCGGCCAGTCTTGCGCTAATATTGTTACCGAAAGAACTTTCCGCCCTGAGAGAGTTTCAAGAGAAGTTCTTTTCGAATTAATTGAAAAACAAATTGCATCGGTGAACGGACGGGGACCATTTTTGTGCCACGATAATGTAACACACTTCATGCATCAAGGACGACAATTGAAAAGCTTAGCGAATCGAAATACAAAGTTTGCAGCATTCTCTTCGGCCTCTAGTTTTTTCCTGTGCCGCACGCGATAACGCGTTTATGCTGTGCATAATTTAAGAAAGCGATTTGAATAAGCCTGCCGTATGGAACATGCTATGGCCGTAGAAAGAAAAACTTTGCAGTCGAATAACGACAAGGTTTTTGTCTGTTCAGGTTGAAATATTATCTAAACAGAGCATTCGCAGTCATATTTTATAGCTTTGATGTCATCGTTCAGCTATTCAGTACGTAAAACATGGAACGAAACTGTATTGGTACAACCAATTGCAAGTTTTGCAATATCTGAAACATTTATATAAAACAGCTTTGTTCCTTAATATCCTCTTCTCATTACTTCGTTTCAAATAGTACCGTCTCTCATCGGAAAGTGTCGAATATTCCTAGTGAAAAGCTTCCAAGTGCAAAGTAACCCTTTGAACTCTGTATGCTCCAATATTGCACCTGTTACAATATTAAATATTTTAATGAATCTCAAAGGAACTACCCTGAAATTATTCGATTCTCCACATCCAAATTCTGTACTAACAAGGAAAATAAAAGATCGAAGGAATGTTATATCATTTCTAATTTCGACTAGGAATACTATAAAAATTAGTTGCAGTTGCTGATAGATTATAAAACCAGCTGGAGTGCAAAGGGTTAACACGTTAAATGCCATGGGGTTCACTGGTGAGCCCCAACTAAATAGAATTACTATAGTTCCCCCAATGAAACGATGACTGAAAACATTTCTATATTATAAATAATGCTAGTTACTGTAGTGGCATTTAGCTAAATGCACTTGCAATACTAATAATGTAATTCAATCAAGTTTAATGTTATATTTTTTTCATTTCGAATATTTTGCTCTATGAAATCATGCGGCGTTGAACGTGTTAATGTCCACTATAAAATTTGCTAATTCCATCGCGTCGAGGCGACCGGCGGATAGGGTGAAGCCCCTGATTCGAATCGTTCATCTGCCCTCCCCGTAATCGCGGCGACCGCATTAATCACCCGAGTATTCCGTGGGGGTAAGTATCGCATCTTTCGAGCACTTTCCCGTGGAACGAATTCGAAAGAGCCGAGGCCGGCAGGCACGGTCTCTCCGCATTCGATTCATTTAGCAGATGCAGGTGGACGGGGTGGGGGCACGCGGCGAGCGTCGCGTATCGCCGGTAGACGGCGTGCGTCGGACCAGTTCATTTCTGTAATGGCCGCCGTCTGGCGTTGTCGGTGAATCGGTCCGTTTCTCATTCTCGCGAGCGTACCCTGCGCATCGTTCTTCCCCATCGTCTCCGAGGCGAACAATCGGCGAGCAACAGTCCTGTGCGTATCAGTCCGTAGGTGTCGAGGATCGGTCGTGCGTACAGTGGTTAATACCGTGGTGGTGGAGGAAGCCAGTGGAAGACAGCGGCGTACAGTGTCGGGTCCGCCGTGGAAAATTCAAACGCAGGTTCGCGGCGGTGTTTCCGGCGCTGTTTACTCGTCCCGCGGCCTGGGGAGGCAGCGTCAACCAAGAACAGAGACGACAGTGTGCCCGACAGCCCGGAAAACGGATCGGCCGATCCCGGGGATCGTGAGATGCGATCGGTCCTGGGGGATCCGTGTGTTGTGTCGCGGGAAGAGCCGACCGAGAGGCCCGTTCCGAGACAGTAAACAAAAGTGACAGCGTGCGCGGACGCCGAGAGAGGTCCGGTCATGCCTCCCGTCTCCGCCGACGAGCCTGTCGACGGTGTTTGACGGCGTGTTGTTCTCGTCCCGAGCGGTCCGAATTCCCTCGCGTGGTTCAAGGTCTTCTAAAATCATCCGAACGTCCACGCTGCCAACGAGGCCTCCTCAGTGAGTTTCACGCTGCGACACCGATCGAACGTGTTGTTGTTCCACGGGACTCCCCTCGTCTCGTTGCTGCTGACAAGCAACGTCGACCGCGCTTTTTCCCCGCCGGCGATCCTCGTCCACCCGTGTTTTGTGTTCGTGTCTCTCTTATTCGAACCCCCACCCGTCCGCGGACGCAAGAGTACCGAAGGTAGAATATATCGCCATCGAACGCGGAAAACAACGGGGGATAACGTGGTCCTCGGCTCGCGCAAGGTACGACTGGATTATGTCTTGTTCGATGCTTGATTTTTTTTTGCTAAGTAGACACCGAGCGTCCAACTTTCCATCGCGGTTTCGCGTTTCCTCGTTGTGTCCGTTGGCGGAATGGACGACTGTTACTGGTCGAGGAAGCGCTTTGCATTCTTGCACACTGTTGTTTCACGGCTCGGTTACCAGTGGTCGGTTGTCAGTCGCCTAGAGGAATGTGTTGACTAGTGTTGTTTCGTTCTAACCTAGACGCGCGTTGTGGCTCGTGTGCTCTGCGGTGGCAGTGATCGAACGTGCTCCTTCGGATCTCTCCGTACGATCGGCCGTGTTACTTTTCAGTCGTTTCCTCTGTTTATTTCGTGGATCCGCTGGAACGCAAAGTGCTCTCCTCGATCCACCAAGTGGCCGCGATTACGAGCGGTTGGTAATGTGGACCTGTCAGATCTGGGACACGATTTTTCATCGTGACACTTGACGCGAATGTTTTCTCGTTGTTCGATGCTGTTTCTAGCGAACGTGTCGGAAGACACGTTTGCAATTTTTAACCCTTTGATATCACAAGTACATTGAGGAACAATCAAAGTTCAACATTAAATATTAGATTCTATAGTCTCACCCCGTCAAATCAAATGACTGAGAGTCGCCTTCAGAGTGCAAAGGGTTAAATTAAAATTATTTTACTCTTTCAGTAACGATTATAAAATTAATTATAGGAAATGTCCAAAATTCAAGGACAAATGATTGAACTGGAAAAATAATTTTCAGTGAAAATTTCAAGTATCTTGACACCTTCGGTAGAAATAGCGTTAAAACGCAGCCCTCTTGGCGCTGTACTTGCTGGTTGCATGCATTTTACAAAGGTATCCGCGTATTTACCGTAAACGTCTCGTTTCGCCAGTCGAATGATCGTTTTGAAGCGCGGGGGGTTTCTCGCGCGACCGTTTGACCGCAGTACCGCAGTATCAGAATTGTGTCGTACTGCAGGCTGGACCGCGTAGCGTAGCGTACTGTCGGTACAATTGTATCTACGGTTCCAGCTTCTAGACCGAGCACGTTCAACGATTTCTCATCAAACTCGAATTCGAGTTATCCGTCGGATAAATTGAAAACCTTCTTCCTAGTTCCAGGTACGTTTTTTCACGGAAATAGGTTGCAGTTCATGCGTAGATTAACAAGGAATCGAGTTTGAGAGTTTCACCGATTCGCATGCATTCGCGAATGCCACGGGTCGACTCAGTATGCAATTAGTATACGCGTGAGCCGAGTCCTACTCAGTTATTCGTGCGGCTAATGAATATTTAAATACGATTTAATGGCGGCTCGTTCGGAACAGCTTGATTCTACCGTTTCTACTCACTTTTACACGCGGAACCACCCCGTTTCCGGTTGTACCGCCGCCGTTAACACACGACAGCGTGTACCTACGCGATTACTTACTCGTTCGAGAGAAATCAATTTCACGTCCGAGACCATCGTTTAGAAAAATGTGTGTTCCAAGCAACGAGGCGACTCGTTAACTCGATCGTTGGATTATCAAACAGAACGACATACCGCGCGAGGAATTTTCTCGCGAACACGTTCGTGTAATGAAACTTTAATGATAAGTCGGCGCGAGACAAAGATCGTCCGAGCAGCAATTATTCAAATAACTCGCAGAAGTTTAGATAACGTCCGTCCGTCGGTTCCCGCGATCGCGGCGTGTAATTCACATCGAGCCGCGTCCCTCGCGTGTGAAAACGATCATACACGGGCGCGCGTGAAAAAAAGTAGCGCTGCTTTGTAAATCAAATCGGCGCGCATTAGCCGCGCCAGCGTTCAGCGAACATGCGCGCGCTCGCGCGAGCGTCCGTGTTATTTAACGAATCCGTCCGCATTCTCGAGTAGGAATTCGGTGTGTTGCTGCACGGCACACGCTGCACGCTTAGCGCCAACATTTTCAATTGTCCGCGTCTCGTTTGCACCTGCCGATGAAAGTCGTGAACGATCTCGTTCGCTTTTGACCAGCTTTAAATGGAACTTGAACCAGTCTTCGGTACCGGCGAGCTTTAATCAACTCGAACGGCCAAAATTGAAATGGAACTTTTATCGAGCATCGTTCAGTTTTCGTAGGAAGATTTTAGAAATTTGAAGAATTCTCTTGGAATTGGATGGAATGTTTTCAGATGGAAATTTGATAGTGGTTTTGGGGATTGAAGGAATTCTGTCGGAGTTAGATCGAATCTGTATATATCTCGAATAAGGCGCTGAGGTAGATGAATACCTATGCCAGTCAAATTAACGGAAGTTGTGCAACATGCACGTACCGGATAGGTCAAAGTGAACGCGGATTAGGTATGGGTCAGGTGTTCACTGCATATTGATGCCGCGGTAAGTAGGATAGATATAGATTAGCTCAATACACTATATTAACGCAGCTTTAATATATATATGTATATATATATAAACATATATTGGGTGTGGGTTACGTCGGTTAGTTATGGATATGGGTTAGGTCAATGCAGCATAACGATGTCGTGCCTCGAGGTTTAATCTGATCCAACAATGTATATCTCATTCCGCAATTCCCTTCGATCGAAAAGTTGCGCAGATCGCTGTTATACTTCCTTAGTTACACTACCAAACAATACATTAATTTTACTGCGAAAATACAGTACAGTTTCTCGTGTCCGAATGCTTTAATACCGAGACCTTCGTCTACAGTGACCAAGGTTCGCTGAAACCTCGATGCGACCCTGGACACGAGAGGCCGTGCTGTATTTCGAAGATTCGATGCGGCTCGAAAGATTGCATCGCACGCACGAGAACGCACGACTGATTGGTATTCATTGGACGCTTTCGGCGCAGATTTCTTCCAGGAAAGCCAAAGTCTTCGGAGTTTCGAGGCCGCTGAAAGAGGAGAGGCAACAGAGATACGACTAGACGGGCAGCGAGAGTGAGAGGAACGGAAAGAAGCAGCAGAAGAAGGAGAAGAAGAGATATACCAAGAGAGATGTGCCAAGTTTCGTCGTTGCGGATGTTCCATGTGGTGCTCCGGTTCGTCTACGCCGGCCTGCCGCACTGCGTCCCCTTCTAGGACCCGTGCCGTAGCCGACAGTGATTCCGGATCGTGATCCCACTGGCAAACACGATCGCGCGCGCCGTTGTCGTACCGATTAAATGTGATCCAGCGATGTCGAGCTACCGCCCGGAGCACGTAGCTCGCCGCCTTGGAAGTCTTCCCGACCGGGCGTCGACGACCTCGCTCGTTTGAACCGCGTGAAACAGACTGACACTCGTAACTGGTGTGTGATGCCGGACGAGGAGGCGGCGGCGATCCTCCGTCCCCGTTCAATCGAGACGATCCCAGCGCAATAACGGCGAACATGTTCGGCAAGGTGCCACCCTCGAACACACCGGGACCGCCGCCTTGCTCCAGCATCTCGTCCATCAAGTCCTGCGCGCCGAAGTCCACCGGGGCCACGTGTCTGCCCTGCTTCTCGTCGGACGAGACGACCAGCGGCCAAACCGACGAGAAGTCGAGACCCTGGCGGCCGAAAGACAACTGCGCTTCGGTGGTCTCCGAGGCGCCGCTCGCCGCGACGGAGGACACCAAGCCGAAACCGTGGAGGTCCAAGGACAGCTGCGAGGAGAAACCGAGGACTAGGAGGACCAAGGAAGGTTCAACCGAGTCCACCGTAACGGAGGACAAATCGAAAGCCAGAAGATCGAAAGACAGCAACAACCCCGAAGCGACCTCTTCCCTGCTCGAGGACAAGTCGATAGTGAGGAGAGGCAGCAAGGAGACCGGCACGCCTACCGACTGTCCCACGATCGAAGATAAGAAACCGTGGAGGTCGAAGGAGAGCGCCTCGCCGGCTTCCGAGACGGCCGCCGGCGATGAGAAGCCTCGAAGAGTCAAAGACTCGAGCGCCGAGGAGTCCCACAGCGGCTCCGTTTCCGCGGCGAATTGTTCCCAAGCGTCGACCCCGCTCGCAGAGGTCAACAGAGCAGGCAGAAGCGAGGGGACGAGTTCTTCCACCGTGAAGAGCTGCTCGAAGTACAAGGAAACTTGTCACGGCCGGAACCACGCGGTGTTGGTAGCGAAAACCAGCTCCTCGAGCCCCGGCATCCACAAATGCTCCTCGAACCCGAACTGCCCCAGCTTCGCCAAGTCCTCGAGCTGCGCGTCGGTGACCAAGTCGCAGAGGGTGCTCGGCTCCAGCAGTCTGAGCAGTCTGAACGCGGATCCAGGCGGCAGAGAAGCTTCCTCCAAGCTAGCGAAGAAGCACATCGGCTTGAACCGCGAGTTCTTAGCGGCCAAGGAGCGAGAGAGCGGCAAGTCCGGGATAAGAGAGTCGCAGAGAGTCGCGCAGACCGTGGTGTCCTTCAACAAATCTTCCTCCAGGTCTTCCGACCCGGGTCGCCTGGTCTCCAACGGCAAGGCCGGCGTCTGCGAGTCCTGCGAGGACATACCGGACACCTTCGCCGAGTTCGTCGCGGTTCAGTCCGGCGAATCCTGCCAGAAACCCGGCAAGGCGTACGTTGACAAGGACTCTGTGATTTCTTCCGTCGTTTCGGTGGTTCCTCCCGGCGGCTGCGAGCGGAATGGCAGAGGCGACCCGACGATAGACTGGGCGAAGAACGGCGATGCGCTGCAACAGAGCTGTATATCCTGCCTGCCGCAGGACCTGCCGACGGAGCTGCAGTTATCCTCGCCCAGGACGTACAGGGACCGCGAGAAGTGCCGGGACCCGTGGCGGCCCACCGAAATGGAAAACAATATGTGTAACCTGAACGTGTGCCCTGGGGATACCTATCAGGACACCAGCACCAAGAGGAGGACCGGCGCGTCATGCCAGGCGCTGAGGCACGCGGTCGCGTCCTTGAATCGACTGGACGATTTCTACATGGAGAAGATCGGCGCGGGATTCTTCTCCGAGGTGTTCAAGGTAGGATTTGACTTTTCGACTCTTTCTACTCGACAGTTTTTTCCTTGGATGTATTCGTTAATATTTCACGAAGAATGCTATTGAATTTTATAGTTCTCCGCTATCAAAAGAAACGCGATTACGAGTCGACTCTCGAGTGCGACGGGCTAATCTTTGTTTCTTGCGCTTGCCGCGTTTCGATCGTCGGTTATTCGATGCTCGCGCCGAAAGGTATCGCGTATTATTAAACCGTACTCTAATGACCGATCAGTTTCGTAACAAGAATGAGAAATGTTCGTTCGTTCCGGAATACGCGGCCGAGATTGGAGAACGAGGTGGACTGTTGCTCGCGAATTAGGAGAATGTTTTCTCTTTGATATAATAGGCTGTTGCCCTTTTCGCGTTTTACCGTGTATCGCGCGATTCGGCCGGTCGTTTCGCAATGCCCCTCGTTATCGGCGCGCAGATTATCATCTGCCTAGATTAGATTAGAAGCGCGTGGCTCGTCGAATTAATTCCAGGCCGCAATCACGTGATCGCTCGCGCGGTAACGAGGAATCGCGCACTTTTTCTCGTGGAACGTTGCTCCTCCGTCCGAGCTGAATTTCTCCGGTGGCTTCGTACGTAAACATTCCGCCGATCGTTCGCCGGCGATCGCGTGCCGTTCTCGAAAACGCGGACCGAGCGGGCCCGCGAAACAATTCTACGCCTCGCATCCCCGATAATCGTTATTATCGCACCGCGGAACGCGAGACCATTTGCGCATCGAAATTCCACGATCGCAGTTTACTTTTCAGTTATCGGAACCGCTCGCGGGTCAAATTGTATTTCGTTCGACGCGAACTCCTCTCGGTTCGCCTATAGAAACGATATTTTACGCTGGAAAAATGATATCGGTGACTATAGTTCGTAAAAGCGTACGGTTAAAACAAAAAATATTGCTGGATATTCCGTAAAACCGTTTTTACGCTGGAACTACCAGCGTCTATACAATCCATTTCCAAAGCGAACTAACTCCGCTGTTCGAATAATTTTCAATTTCACCGTTAAAGCATGCGATCGGTTTCGTTGACGAAATTTCGCAAGATTTCTCCGGTTTTCTTTCTGCGTAGTTAATCTGTCCGACTATCGGAGAGATACGTGGAATCGTGAAATCGATTCAGCGATGCGCAAAGTAAGGTACAAGTGTTAAAAACGTGATCCAAGATGGTTATGTTTGAACGCGATTCACGTTCGTTCCGCGTTTTCTACGATTTACAGGATTCCGCGATCCAACTGATTATTTTATTATCCACGCGTCCGCGAACGCATCGCGAAGGATCGTTTCAGTAACTCGCGCGGCTCGAGGCTGAACACGGCATATGGTGTTCTCCGCTGCTCTCTCGCTGTTATTACTAGGTCATTGTCCCTAGCCAGCTTCTACGGGAGAAATTGGAAGTTGCCAGAGACCTTGTCCTAATAACACCGAGATGCGTTGCATTTGCTTCCACTCTCGGCATACCGTTTCTGTCCAGTAGGAATTCCAGACCGTAGAGACCTGTTTTATATTATGCCGTTGCTGCATGCGAAATGCGGTTTCCTCTATTGCAACCTCTATCACGCGCGGATCCTGCCAACGGTCGCGTATTTCCTTGAAATCATTTCCCCGTGAATTCGACGAGTTTCTTTTCACACTCGGTCCATCGAGTCTTCTCATTAGTTTCTCAATTAGGCTAAACAACGAAGACTTGCTTCGTTTTTCATCGTTCTAGTAAAGAAAGACATCATATACATTTCAAGAGTTAAATGCTTGTAACGGTTCGACGTTCACGCTGATGAAATTAAATTCTTCTGTAATCGACACATGCAATTTCGCTTGAAATACGGCCAACGGTACTCGAACACTCCCAGGAGTATACGAAATGAAGATAACACCGAGCATAAGGACACCGTAATTTAAAACACGGAGGAGTTAAACGTCGGAACTTCGTTTCGATAACATTCTGTCCATCTCTGACCCCGAATCGCGTCTTTTAAGGACGCGTTCGAATTTAAATTTAAAATTCTCGGAATTCGAAGCTTCAACTGCTGATTTCATTTAGTTAGAGCAACGTCACGTTTCAAGAACTGACATCAACGTGTTCGCGTGATTCCTTATCGCCTGTAACGAAATGCAAAGAAGAATGTAGCAGTACAAGAAAGTATCTAAGAATCTCGTTAAGAGCACTCGCGTTGCGAATCACTCTGTTGATTAATTCCACGCCGTTTTTATCCAAGTTCCGACGATCCCAGCGACTCATCCCCAATTCCTTCCGCTTCAAAGGGTTTCTCGCGCTCGTCCATTCGCACTCGGTGCCAATATCGCCATGAATCTTCGGCCAATAAGCTCCCCGCGAGGCGCAACTTTTCATTAAACGCTCGCGTTTCATTTACGGGGTCGTTACGCCGGTCCCATTTATATCATCCGGCCTTTACTGCGCCGAAACAATCAAACAGATACTTAAGCCGTATTTCACTGTTCATTGCCCGGCTGATTGTAGCAGGAGCGCTTTACGAGTCGGCGGATTACATATTTCTGCGGCGGATCGTGGATGATCACCCTCGCGCGATGATTCGGGAACGCGTTGTGAAATACGGCCGCGTTTACGTCTGCGTCTGTTGCCTCGGTACGCTCTGACGTAACGACGCGACTCGTCGCGGCGGCGGGAAGGGATCGGTGGTCGAATTACGCGTTGACCCTTGCGGCGGCGAACACCGCAAGGGTTAAACGTCGCTGCGAATCACGGTCCTTCCTCGTTCGCGAGGCTTTCATCGTCGCGACTGCGGCGGAGGCGGGGAAAAACAATCATCTCTTCGGATCTATGTTGGTCAGGGCTGGCTGCGGCTGGTCGACTTTTTACGGGCTCGTGGCATCGGCTAAGCTGCGTTTCGCGCGGGCTCGCGGCGAGCGCAAACATTGGCCGGCGCTTTCGTGACAGATTATTTATTCCGACTGCGAGGGATTTTATGCGCGGGTTGCTGCGTTACGTTACCGTTGCGCGGCCGACGCCGATTCCAGGGAACATCCAAGAAGTGCCAGAGAAAACGGTGTATATCACTCTCGCGTGGAATAATCGACGTTCCTATAATCGCGATACGTTCTAGCGGGAATGGAGTTCTCACGTTCGTTCGGATAACATCGAAAATATCCGTTTCCATCTGGAATATTTTTAGAAATTCATTTGTCGTGTCTCGCGTGCAGAGAAACATCGGAGACGTTAGGAAGATCGTCCTTAATTCGGTGAAGATCTTATTCCTGCGCGCGCTCGCGTAGATCGCTTTCCACGATTAACTTAATTAGCATTAGCGACAAAACTGATACGTTGCGGAGAGGAATACAGTTAAACGAATTTAGCCTCGGAGGTTTTCGAATTCCCTAACGACACGCGAATCGCAGCCGATGCATCCTTTCGTTTACAAAATGAGCTTACGTAAGCGGCGAGAGATCCCGTTGAATGCGTGCGGAATAATCACGCGTGAGGAGTTGCGCTAGATTTCGAGGGAAAAGTTTTCATGGAAATGAGCGACGCTCGAGCACACCGCGCCGTTGGAGGCGGGTTTCTCCTTCGCCATCGCTGCATCGGTGCGCCGCTGCATCGCCGCATCGCGGTGTCCTGGAAGGATGCTATAAGTCACAATTTCCTTTTACTCCGCAACCGCTTCCTCTATTGCGCGCACCTTCGTCCCTGCGCTCTCTTCCTTTCTTAACTGAGGCCTTCCTTATCCGCGCATCTGCTTGCTTTCCTTCCCTTCCTTCTCTCATTTTCCTTTTCCTCTTCTCCCTCCTTTCTCATTCCTTGTTCTCTCTTTTCTCTTTATATTTTCCATCCTCATTATGTTTATCTTCTCTCCTTTTCTCTTCCTACCTCCTCGGTTTTCTCGCTCTCTTTCGTCTCCTCTTCTCCATTCTCTTTTTCTATTTCTTATCAGCCTCCTCTCCGACTTATTTTCCGTCTCTTCCCTTTCGCCGGTTCCACCGATGATCGTTCGGAACGCGAAAGGTAAATATTAGGGCACAATCGTCGGCCGCGAAATGCACGGACAGGCGTGTGACTCACCGTAAATGGGTCAATAGGAAATTGACTGCGGCCCGCGAGCGACGCCTGACGCTTCCTCCGCGATGCCGCAAGCCTGTTCCGTTCGAAAATAAATCCGCCGGCGGCGTTCTACGGCGCCCGCTGTAGGATCCTCGCGATCCGTACCGTAGGTCAAAGTCTTCTAAAGTGCTCTCGACTCCTCCACTCCGTCCGTGTTATTAGTTGTTGCCATTTCTGCGCCGCGATGAAATCTTTTAGACACTCCAGATGCACTCGGCTCCGTTGTTTCGTCGATGAACCCCGATGTTCCTCGCGCCGTTTGTGTCTGACGCTCCAAGTGTTTCGGATCCGAGCGATCTAGAGTCTCGATCGAAATTCTTTTCGAACGAGGTTCGAACGAGCTTCCGCTCACTCGTTCATTCGTGTCTATTGCTGGGTTACCTACGAATCTCCATGTACAAGTCGCTTAGAAGCCAATGCGGTTAAGTTCAGAAATCAGAAATTGAGGAAATTAAGGTTTTGGCTTATGAAACGATTATACAACGTATCCAGGAGCTATAAAAAGGGCTTTCTGACCTAGAACAAACGAAGAGACGAGCGAATCTTCGTTTATTCCATTATAATGTACAGAGATCAGAAAATATCGAGGAATCGACACACTGCATTGGCTTCCGAGCGACTCGTATGATAGGTCGTATGAATGCGTGCCTCATACTTGAATAGAAAGGAATAAGTGGATAAATATAGATCGATCTTATACAATGGTTCCAATGAATACAGAAGAAAATCGTTGGCCGCACGAATAAGGAAACGAAGAGTTACCAAAGAGCGAGGTCGAACGGGAATGATGAATTAACTCGTCACCAATCTGATTATCGGGCCAATTAAGCCGATTACCATTCGAGAAGCTCTGCCCCATTAACGAGCCGAGACTCACGCGCGCAACAAGGATTATCGGTATTTACG